ATGAAAATACAATAATAATGATAAATAATAAAAATAAGAAACAATAAAGATAATAATATAAAATGATGATATTAAAGAAATTATTAAAATATAAAATAAAGATAAAAGAAATCAATAAAATATAAAATAAATTCATTTTAATTTAAATCATTTAAATAATTAAACAATAAAATTAATTTATAATATTGAAATATTTCATAAATATAATAAAAATGAACAAATAAAAGAATAGAGAAAAATAAATAAAAGAATAATAAATAATAAAATAAAATAATCAATATATTAAAAAGAAAAAAAAGATAATAAATAATACATATAAATAAAAATTATAAAAATAAAAAGAATAAAATAAATTATATCAATAAAATAATGTTAAATAATTTGCATCAATAAATTAAACATTTTTTTATTTCATATTTCTAATTTCTGTAATAAAAAATACACCTGTTATTTCATCTTTCTTTTCATCTTTTATTATCTCTTTTTGAATTATTCTTTTTTATCTTCTTTCATTTTATATTCTCAACATTCTACTTTTATTCTTTTCATCATCTTCTACTTCCTAATTTCACTTTTTTTCTTTTATATCATTCTTTTTCATCATTTCTCTTCATTTTTCTCTTATTTCATTTTTTCGTAGCCGTAGTTATATATCTTTTATTTATTTCTTTATTTTGATTATTATCTTTCATTTATTCTTCATTTTTATTGTCTCCTTCTTTTCTTTAACCACATTTTTATTTCATTTTAGATTGAATATACTTCTTGTTGTATATCATCATTTTCTTTACATTTATATTTACTTATTTCTTCTTTTCATTGTATTTCTTTTTCAATTTAATTTCATTCTCTCTTATTGTTCTATGACTCTTATTGTTGTTATCTTTATTACCATTATATTTATTTATCTTTTACCTATTCATTATTCATTTCTTATTTACTTTTTATTCACTTTTCATTGGCAATTCTTTTACCTTTGTTATTACTCATTCTATCACTATTTCATTTGCTCTTCTATATCCACTTGAATGTTATATTGTTTACTTTCCTTTACAACACCAAAGAATGTTATTTAATAATAATGATAATATAAATTTTTATATTCTCTGAATTGAAAAAGATTAAATAAAAATCAAAGAATATAAAGTATAAATTGATTGGTATTTGTTGAGATGTTAAAAAGTACTATTTGTTTTATTTATTGAGTACACGTATTTAATAGAACAATTGATTTAATAAGAAGTTGTTATACCACTTCATTACTTATTTATTAACACAATATTTAATATTATCTAGTCATTATATATCATAGTAAACAATTGTCAATAGTTACATAATTACCATATAACTCCTATTGGTTTATTTTCTTCTTCAATAATCATGTCTACAAATTCTTCTATGGTACTATTAGACATAAAAATACATTTGACTTCAAACTTAAAATAAAAATGATGACATAGTTATCAATACCAAAAAATAATCTTATTGTAATGTTTTTGTAATCCAAATTCTTGTATCTTAGTCAACATAAATATACCTTCTCAGTCACTCTACAATCTCTTATATTTTTTATATTAGAACATTTTATTATCTATTTTGTTCTTTTTATATATCTCCAATGAATTTCATTTATTCAAATAAACTAACAATCTGTTCAATAGAAAATACTGTCATTTTTTAAACGAAAATAACACAGTTAGTCATTGTTGTACAAGACATTACTTTCTTTCTACTTACATTTCTATAAAACAAAGATTTGCAAAGATTATAGCTTTTTATTATATTGTGAACTTATCACCCTCTTATCATTCTATGACAAGTTAACTCTTACTTATTCAATCAAACAAATACTATGCTTCTTCATATTCTTTTTTTCTTGATTGGTGTTTGTTGGTATATCAAAGAGAATACAGGAATTAATATTAACATTATTCTGTGAATAGTTTTATTGTGAAATGAACAACATACTAACAAAGTTTAATATTGTTGTGTTATGAAACATGGAATCATAATGAATTTGTTTAAATTAACAATGGTATTAATCAGAACGAATGAAACAATTATAATGAATGTCCTCTTTTCTTGAAATGGTTTGTAAGGAAAAGTTTATTTTATTACAAAGAGTATTGTTCATAGAAATGTTTTGATGTCATTAAAATATCATATAACTATTTTCATTATCATATTATTGATTGATTAATATAACCTATAAATTAACATAGTTTAGAGTATCAAGAAGTACTAATTTGTAATAGCTAATACAAGATTTACAAAAATCAAATAAAACACAAAATATATGGTATTAGAAATATTAAACAAAGGATAGTACAAAGTAATGAGTGATATTTATTTATCCTAGTCATATATATGAATATTTTAAATAGAAAATAGTTTTACAACAAAATGGATAAAACACAAAAATAATGGATTGAAGAAATAATATCAAACCATAGTAAAATACATCCATCCTTATTATTGAATAACAATGAGAAAAAATCTTTAAAAGAAATAATATAGTTTTAATTAAACAATTAAAATAAGAATGTAATTTTAATTGATATTGTTGATAGGAATTGATAATTTTTAATTAATTTAGAAATATAATACAAATCAAGATATTAAGTTTTGTTCCTTAATTCTCTGTTTTAATTGGTAATGAAATAAAAAGAGGAGTTGTTATTTTTATTAATCCAATAAGAGATATACTTAATAATGAAATTAGTTCAATTATAAAAATCAAGAAATAATGAAGATGTTGAGATTATAATAGATAATCATTTTTTAACAAAGAAAAAATAATAAAATTATTATAAAAAGTTAATTTAGTTTACAAAAACTAAAATACAACAAAATATGTCAGTTAAAAGAAGAGACCATATATTAATTCCTAAAAATCCAGATGCACCTCTTCCGTCATTAAAAATAGAAGAAGTTGGAGAATGTACTATTGACAATATTTATGCATCACCAGAACCATTTGTTAATGGGATGACAATGAAATTATCAGCAGTTAAAAATAATGGAATAGAAAGAGATAATGGAGAAGTAGAATTAGCAGGACCAATGGAAAAAATATTTTATAATCCAGAAACAACAAAAGTTGGTATTATAACATGTGGAGGATTATGTCCAGGATTAAATAATGTTATCAGAGGATTAGTGTTAAATTTATACAATCGATATCATGTAAATAATATTTTTGGATTAAAATGGGGATATGAAGGACTTGTTCCAGAATTATCTGAAGTACAAAGATTAACACCAGAAGTAGTTAGTGATATTCATCAAAAAGGAGGAAGTATATTAGGAACTTCAAGAGGAGCACAAAGTCCAGAAGTTATGGCACAATTTCTTATAGATAATAATTTTAATATTTTATTTACATTAGGAGGAGATGGTACATTAAGAGGTGCTAATAGAATTAATAAAGAATTAAGAAGAAGAAAAGTTCCAATTACTGTTGTTGGAATTCCTAAAACTATTGATAATGATATTTGTTATACAGATTCTACATTTGGATTTCAAACAGCTGTTGGACTTTCACAAGAAGCTATTAATGCAGTTCATAGTGAAGCTAAATCAGCAAAAAATGGAATTGGAATAGTTAGATTAATGGGTAGAGATGCAGGATTTATTGCATTATATGCATCATTAGCTAATGGTGATGCTAATTTAGTATTAATTCCAGAAATTGATATTCCAATAACACAAATATGTGAATTTGTTGGTAAAAGAATAATGTCAAAAGGACATGTTGTTATTGTAGTAGCAGAAGGAGCATTACAAAATCAAAAACCTAAAGATCTTAATTTAGGAACAGATAAATCAGGAAATATTATTCATTGGGATTCAATTAATTATTTAAAAGAATCTATTACAAATTATTTAAATTCAATTGGAATTCAAGAACATACAATTAAATTTGTTGATCCTTCATATATGATTAGATCAGCACCTTGTAGTGCTGCTGATGCACATTTTTGTATGTGTTTAGCAAATGCAGCTGTTCATGTAGCTATGGCAGGAAAAACAGGATTAGTAATTTGTCATCATCATAATAATTTTGTTTCAGTACCAATTGATAGAACTAGTTATTATATTAAACGAGTTAATACTGAAGGACCATTATATACTATGATGACAGCAATTGAAAAACCAAAATAAAATTAATTATTAAATAATAAATTTTTATTTAAATTTTTTTTATTTATAAATTATAATATTATTATTTTAAAAATAAAAAAAAAAAAATTATAAATTTATTAATTAAAAAAAATTAATTTTGTTTGTATACAAATTCTTCATCTTTATCATAACCAAAAGATAATTGAGGTAAAATTTTCATTAAAGTTGGTTTATCTATTCCACAAATATTAAGAATATCATCAAATTGAATAATATCTTTACATTCAGCAATTAATTCATTAGTTAAATATTCTCTTACTTTTCTAGCAATATCAGTTGTAATATTTCCTTCCCAATTTTCATCAAAATGAGCATAAAAAATAAGTTGAACTGCAATTTGAGCATCTATTTCATCAATTGTATTACTTCCACGAATTCTAGCATGTGCTTCAGCAAGTCTAATTAAAGAATCAAGAGCACGAGCTGTAATAGGAAGAGTTTTAATTTTAAAATTATGTTTAATTCTTTTTAATCTTTCATTTTCTCTTAATTTAACATAAGCATTTGCTATAGTTTCACTAGCAAATTGAGTTAAAGAAGGTGTTGGAAGATTTCTAGCATAAGTAATATATTTTTTAATAAATTTATTAGTAAATAATTTTTCTCCTTCATATAAAGAAGTATCTTGATAAACAGGTGCATCTCCAATTTTTTCTCTTTCAGCATCTACTAAAGCTAATACATTAATTTCATCATCTCCACGTTGTTCAGATAATGCATCAAAATGTCTATGCATTTTTAAAACATGTTGTGATAATCTTCTATCAAGTTCTTCAGTAGAAGAATCTAAAATAATAAAAATAAGATCAAATCTAGATAATAAAGATTCAGGAAAATAAAGATTTTCCATAGGTGATTTTTTAACATTATAATTTCCATTTGATGGATTTGCTGCTGCAAGAATTGAACATCTTGCATTTAATGCTGTATGAATTCCAGCTTTTTGAACTGTTACAGTTTGTTGTTCCATTACTTCATGCATTGCTGCTCTATCTTCAATAGACATTTTATCAAATTCATCAACACAAACAATTCCTCTATCAGCTAATACCATTGCACCAGCTTCTAATGTACGTTGATTAGTATCAGGATCATTAACAACAGCAGCAGTTAATCCAACTCCAGTTGCACCTCTTCCATTTGTAGAAACAGCTAAAGGTGCAATACTCATAACATATCTAAGTAATTGTGATTTAGCAGTAGATGGATCACCACATAACATTATATGAATATCACCTCTAACTCTTGATCTTAAACGAATTTTAGGTGTTGAACCAACTAACATTAAAAGAATTGCTTTTTTAATATCTGAATATCCATAAATACTTGGTGCTATTGATTTTGATAAAAGATTAATTGAATTTTTTTCTTTCATTACTTTTTTAATATTTTCTTTATCAATTTCAGTTAATTCAGGTCCTTCTGATTGTAATGTATTAATATTATCTGCTTCTAAAACAACTTTAAATGTAGATGAATGATTAGGTCCAGCTAATGCTTTTAATGTTCCATTAATAATTACTCTATCTCCTGGTTTACCTTTATCTACTAATTGATCTAATAATATTACAATAACAGACCTTGGCATTTGTCCTGTTGGTGCACTTTCAGGCATTTCTTGAACAACTAATGTTTGAAAATCTTTATAAGTAGATAATCCTGGTTCAAGTTCTAATGGTTTTCCATCAAGAGTTTTTGATGATAATTTAACCATTATATCAGCATGAGATAAATCTCTTGCATGAATAGAATAATCTAATGGACAAAATTGAACAGCAGTTTGAAGTAAAGGACGAATTTGAGATGATTTTGTAATAATTCCTTGAACAGCAACTTTTTGTTGAAGAATAGAAGCTGTAATATTTCTTGGAGTTATATGATGAATATGACTTTCCATTTTATTTTAAGTTTAATTTTTTCTTTAAAATAAAAAAAAAAAAAAAATTCAATATTTATATTTAACTTTATATTATTTAAAAGAGGAAAAAGAAGTAATTTACACAACAACTAATTTCTTTAAGAATTTAATTTTACTAAATTTAACAAATTAAATACCTACTTTCATTCCTCTTTGTTTAATAATAGATCCATCAGCTTGTTTTAGGAATGGATGTTCAAGTAATTGTATTGCTGACCATCTTTCTTCTGGATTAAAGACAAAACATTTCTTAAGAAAATCAATAAATTCAGGAGGTGCTTTAGATGGATTTCTTAATCCAGGTGCACCAACTGTAGCTGTTTTAAAAAGACCTTTAAACATTCCTAATTCTCTATAAGGTGGTGATCCTTCAAATAATTCTTGACCTACACATCCAATACTCCAAATATCAACTTTTTCATTATATTGAATTTGTTTAATAACTTCTGGTGCCATATATGCTTTAGATCCAGCTCTATTTGATGGTTTAGAATTAATTCTTACAACTAATCCAAAATCAATCACTTTAATTTCAAAATTTTGTTTTAACATAATATTAGCTGTTTTAATATCTCTATGAATAAATCCTTCTTCATGAATATATTTAAGTGCTTTTAATGTTTCTAATAATAAAAATGCTGTATCAGCATCTTGAAATGGTCTCATTCTATTTTTTAATAATGTTTTTAATGTTCCAAGAGAACAATATTCCATTCCAATATATACTTGATTATTATATAACCAACATCCTTCAAATCCAACAATATTTGGATGTTTCCAATTACTTAAACGTGCAACTTCTGCTCCAATTTTTGTATATCTTTCATCTATAGAATGTTTTAACATTTTTAAAGCAACTGGTTTACCATCTTCTACTCTTTGTGCACAAAATACTTCACCAAATCCACCTTTTCCAATAGAAACAAGATTTGTAAAATATTTATGTGGATCTTCTTTTTTACAATATTTTAATAAATCATCTTCTTCTGGTGGAGCTTCTTTTTTTATTTTTTCAATATGAATTTGTTGATGTTCAATTTTTTGTTGAAGTTGTCTTTTTTCTGTAACTGTAGCATATCTTTTCTTTGTTTGTGATCGAAGAATTTCACATAATGTATCAAAATGTTTTTCACATTCTTCTGGATATAAATTATTTTTATTACATAATTCACGACATGTAGGTGTTAAATCTGCTAATTTTCCACTAAAAAAATCTTTTACTATCATTGTTTGTGGTTTATGATAATATTGTTGACATTTTTTACAAAGTGTTTCAACTTCATTACATTCTTCTTCTGTTTCAAATCTTAAATAAACTCGTCTAATAACACATTGGAAAATTAAAATAAGTCGTTGATGTTTAGTAATTTCGACATTATCACTAAATGGTAATATAGTTAATGGAATTTCTCCATTTACTGCATATAATGCAATTAATCCATTATAAATATTTAATGATCTTCTTGCCCAAAATGTTTTACCATGTTTTTTACATGAAACCATTTTTACTAAATGACAATACTATTTAATCATAAGTTTTAATTTCTTTTTTTTTTTTATTTATTTAAAAACAAAATAAATCTTTCCTTCTTTAAATAAATTTTTATCTTCTTTTTATTTTTTAAGAAATCTTTTCATATGTTCATATTCTTAATATAATCAAAATAAATAAATAAAATAATATTATTATTTAATGAACATAAAAATTTCATTAATAAAATAAAAAGAAAAAAAAAATTAAAATAAAATAAAATAACAAACATCTTGAAGGAAATCTTCTTTGAATAAGATTGAATTGTTATCAGTTGTTATAGTTCGAAGAATCTCAAATAATGAATTAAAATCACTTTCATTTTGCATTAATAATAAAATTGATGGTTGTTCACATAATGTTAATTTCATTTTAAATTGAGTTGGACTTGAACATACAGTAACTGTATTTAATGAAGTAAATGGATATTCTTCACGTACTTTTCCATGTCTAATAAGTTTAAATCTTCTTTCTACAAAATTAACAACAGCCATTCTATATTCCATTGTTTCATCTTCACGTAACCCAACAGCAAGATCAAAGTAAATTGTTTCTAAAGGTGTTTTATTTTCTTGTTTTGTTGCAAGATATTCTCTAAGAATTTCTTGTGACTTTTCATCGAGTTTTGATGGAACTTCGTCCGCCATTAAATGAAGTTGATTTCTTAGTTTCTCACAAAACGATAATTAAACTTATTTTTTGATTTTGTTTTTTTCTCAAGTCTTATTCAAAAATATTATTTCCATTTCATTTCCATCATATTTCAGGATGAATTACTAATTATTTTCCTAAAGAAAAACATAAACTATTCTTTTGTTTTTTTAGAATTTTATTAATTTATTTTTATAATATAAATTTGATAAATATAACATAAATAAAAATAAAATAAAAAAAACCCATAATTAATATAAAGATAAATAATATAAGAAGACAAGAAGAAAGAAAATAATAAAATAGGTGATTCACAGAATATCCAACTCTATTGCATATTCGCTATTAGTCACCATAGAAGAGTTGTGATTATTTGAGCTCGTTTGAATAAGACTTGATGCTTAATAATCCCTGCTTTGTCTCCTTGACACCTTTGATCTGTCCGTTGGACTAGAGGTCTTTGGTCTATCGAAACACTGCAATATTTTTATTTTTTTAATGTTTATCTATCCCATAAAAATAGTATTTTTTTAGGGTTTTTTAAGTAAAGAATAATGGAATCAAATTATGAGAACAAATAATAATAAATTGAGTCATATTCCATGAATCAAGACAAAGATGAAATTGGATTATTTGAAGATAAAAATGAAGAAATTAAAAAAGAAGAAGAAGAAGAAGAAAATGCTTGGGAAGATGAAGAAGATCAAAATAAAACAAATATACCATCAAGTAAAAGGTATGAAGAAATTTGGAAAAGAAAAGAAATTGAAGAAGAATTAGATGAAAATGATAAAACATTATTAAAGACAGAAGTTAAACGAGAGAAAAAAGGAAAAAAAATTAATGAATTAAATTTTGAATTATTAAGGAATGCAACAATGTTAAGAAAAAGTAATGGAATTATTACTGGTACACAATTTTATGATAAATCACCTATTTTAATGACAAGTGGAAGAGATCAATTTCTTCATTTATTTGTAATAAAAAAAGATAAATGTTTTCCTATTGGAGATAAATCACTTGATCAACCAATTGAATTAGCAAAATTTGTTGATGAATCTATTTTAATGACATTTAATAAACCAAAAATATCTTTATATGATATGAATTCACATAAAATAAAAAATATTCCAAAATTTGATGGATATGAAGAAATAAATTTAAATTATTTTACTGTTGGATCACAATATATTTCATTTATTAATGATAACAATCTTAGTTCAATTCTTATTGATAAAAATTCATTTCAAGTTATTGATGAATTAAAAGGTGCTAGACAAATATTAGGAAGTGTATTTCATCCAACTGAAGATGTATATCTAACATCAGGTAATTATGGTACAATTAATATTTGGGATCTTAAAAAGATGAGATGTAGATCATTAATATATGATGATGGTGCAATTAATGTTACTTCTATAGCAATTTCACATAATGGAGAATATCTTGCATGTGGATCAGATGGTGGAATAGTTAATTTATATGATTGGAAATCTTTTGAAAAAGATTCTCATCCAAAACCACTTCATACATTTAAGAATCTTGTTAATGATTGTAACCATCTTGTTTTTAGAAATGGTCTTCTTTTAATGTCATCTTCAAAAGGAGATAAACAAATAAGAATTGCTAATGTTCAACAAAGAATTGTTTATTCTAATTTCCCTGGATTTTCTAAATTTGGAAGAATTCAAGAAATAGACCTTTCTCCAAATGCTCGTTATTTAGCATTTGGTAATTCAACAGGAAATGTAAGTCTTGTGAAATTAACTGATATGCCAGGTTATTGATTGTTTTGTTGCATTTTTCTTTCTTTTTTTTTATTAAAATAAATAAAATTACAAATTCCTTCATTTTATAAAAATTCAATCTCATTTCTTTTTGTTTTATCTTCTTCTTTATCCCATAATTCTTTCATATCATCTATCTCTTGTTTAATTTTATCATTTTTATCTTTTAAATCTTTTAAATATGGTGCAATATCATCTCTTCTTCGTAAATTTTTTATTGCCATTCTTTTTTTATTTATTTCATTTTCTATCATTTCTTCTTCTTCTTTACAACTATAATATTCTTTACAATCAATTCGGTTTTGTGTGTTTTGAATTTCTTTTGTTATTTCTTCAGTTTGATTTATTAATTCTTTGATTTCTTCTTGTTTTAATTTACTTTTTTGAATATCTTTCATTTCTACACTACTTTTGCATCCATATTTCTTTGGACGTTCTAAACAATCTTTTGTTGTATGTTCACTAGATCCACAGTTTTTACATCGTTCTTTTTTTAATACGCTCTTCCCTTTGTAATATTGTTTAGGCATCTTACAATTAGTTTATATCTAATCCAGTTATCCTTTTTCTAGTTTATTATAAACCATAATTAATAATAAACAATACTATTTCTTATCACTCTTTAATTGCAATTTTATCATAACTTTATTAACTTCTCTCTTTATTTATTCTTTTTCATTACAACTCCTTTTATATTCAATGTTACTTAATGGTTATTAACATAACTGTAAAACATAACCATAATTTCTTATCTCATTAATAATGTATTATCCTCATATCTTTTTTTTAATATTCTTTGTAAAGTATGGAAATACGAATATCATTGTTAGTGTAAGTGGTGTTTCTAGTCATTCAGTTATGAAAGAAAAAAGAAGGCTCATGGACTAGATAAAATAAAACACTTCTCTTATCATAATTATTAAATAACGTTATTTTAATCGTTTAGAATACCATGAATAATGTACTTGATTTGTGCCAGATACAATACAAAGGCTTATGTCATAATCAAACACTTCTTAATGAGAATGTCTGTCTAAATTATTAGTTATCTTTTGGTGTTGATATGAAATATAAAAACTATTAAAAAAGGAATGAATTACCACCACGAGAACCATCCTTTCTTTTCTAAAGAAGGATATTCTAAATATTGTGAACAAGCATCAATCATTAAAGCTTTATCTCCTGTTTTTTCTTTCCATAAATTCTTTAATATTTCAACAACTAATGCATGAGTACAATTTAAAGTAACTTCTAATCTTTTTCTTTCTGAAGCTTCAACTGAAGGAATTAATTCATCAATAGTATCTATAAGTTCTCTTAGTTGAGTGTAACTTTCTTTTAATTTGTTTTGGTTAAATAATGAAAGACAATGATAATAATTCTTATAGCATTGCCAACTTGATATTTGCCAATTTTTAGGATTTGGTTTTTTCTTTTCCATATAAATTAATTTAGAATATTCTGTCATAACAATATCTAATTTTCCATTTGAATCAATATGTTCATTTCCAAGAGAAAATTGACCTAAATGTTTTTCTATTTCATTAATGTTTTCAATAATTTCTGCAACAATTAACTTATACTTCTCTTCTCTGGCATAATCTAATAACTCTTTATACATCATTCTATTAGCAATTTTTTTATTGGAAATCATTTTGTTACAATGACTTACTGCTTTCTGAATAATATTCATTCTTTCTACAATTCCTTTGTTTTTACTATCTCTATAACTTTTCATAACATCTCTCATAAGGTCATCAGGAATAGAGAAAAGTTGAGCTTCTCCATCAACAACTTTCCACTTTTCAATTTCTTTAAGTTCTTCTTCTTCTTTAATTTCTTTACCTTCATCTTTGCATACTCTGATTTTAGCATTGGCATCATCTACAATATCTCTAAAGATAATTTTACTTTCTTCACTCATCTCTTCATCAATGTACCCAATGATAGTAATACTTTTAAAATAATACTTTAATGCGTCTTCATATTGGTGATCTTCAAATGCTACCATTCCTTTCATATACATAGTATATGCTGTAATTTCTCTTTGTGTTCTTTTATTACATCCTTTCATTAATCCAATAAATTCTTCACAATATTTTTTCATTTTATGAAGTCTTCTTTTTTGGTGATGACCTTTTC